AACAAAAAGCGTGCTCATTCAACTATATAGAAGATACATATTTACGTTTTTCCCATCATTTGCGTGCCCATGGTACACTACCAGTTCGGGCTACATATAGGTACTCTGGACTGCACTGTACGCACGATGATAGAGAGCAAAGAGCGGCGGCCATGACAGTGCCCACTCTAGCCTATCATTTTATATATTTAATTCAAGTCTATGGCTTAGGGTTAGTCCTTTCTGGCAAGACTGATTCTCTTCTGCTTGAAAGAGAATCGAGAGAGAAGATTCGAGATTAACTCGATTACTTGGGTCACGATCTTTGGCTCAGTCCAAAGAGATTTTAAATATAAGTAGAGGTCTTAGCTGGCTCTGACGTCACGAGTGTTAAAGTTTAGGTCAGTTGGTGCACAGTAACACTTTTCAGTCACGGATTAATGACACTGCGAAGTCTTTTGATGTCAATTTCATTCAAAGATAGTGTATAACAAGATGGGCCACTCAGCCCAAAAAAAAGTGTCCGCCGGAAGTCCGCTCTTTGCTTCAGATGGCGCTGCAGTCTGTTTTGAAGCTCTCTTTCGTTTTTCCAGAAGAAGAATAGGAATAGCACCTCCTTGCGTGCGCAGATCGACTGCTGTTCACCAGCAGTTCGGGTTCTTTCAGTGTGGGGTTTTAGTTTTTAAAAAATGTTTTAATAACCTCTCGCCTTTCACTCTAAAGTCAAATTAAACGAAGAAAACAATCACCTCCACCCTTTCCTCCGGAAGAGTTTTTTTTTGGTCTGTGTAACCATTTTAAAAATGCATTATTCCGAATTCTATTAAAAAACTTGCTAGTTTCACTTTAATTTTTTAAAACTCAAGTAGGGTACCTCTGTTCGCAAAGGGTGCGCATTTGCGAAGAGGGCACCACCTAATTTTGAAGACACGTTTTTAAATGGCTCAAAGAGAAAAGTGTCCGCTCTTGTTATGTAGACTCTTTGTTTCATTTTCATACGATTTGCCTATTCGCTAAAATGTACTCGTAGGGGTTTTTGTGATTGTTTACCTTTAAATGAGCCAGATAATCTCCAAGTATCGCAAATAGGGCCTTTTACACGGTGAGACCATATGGATGAGTAAAATTCAGAAAAAATGAAAGAGATGAACTTGAGGATCACTTGTTAAAATAAAGATTAACATAATTTTATTGAAATCTTTTGCTGCGCTTCGTTAAAGCAGTATGTCCTTATTAAATTTAGAACCGCTGACCACAACAAGGCGCTCGTATCGGCCCTCTGGAATCAGGAATGTGACTGAGAAGCTGCTAGAAGCTTCAGCTGCAATCTAGCACACCTTCAAGGCTGGCTGAACAATATGAAGTAGCCAACCAGGCGTAACTACCCACTAATAAGACTAGTGTAACAATATTCTGTTTCATTTGGGGAACCGATGCCAAACAGGACAGCATGTGTAACAGTAGCAGCAGGGGTTCATGGACGATATGGTCTTGTTGTGTAGCTAAACAACATTGCCAGTCAACGCCAATTTTATAAAATATTTTGAACGTTTAAGATAAACCAGCTATTTATCTAATTGTTGCATTTTAAAATGTTGTCAGTATACAATTTCATGTTACTCGCCCGATCTAGGATTTCTGCGCAGGTTCCCGCGAACAAATTCGGTCGATTAGCCCCGCATGGCCTACGGCTTCAGGCCCTTGGGGATTTCTACGCGTGTTCCGTGTTCTGGCCCGAGGGGATTTCTGCGTATGCTCCTTAAAAATTCGCGTGATCAGTCGCACAAGATTCAGTCACTCTCTTTCTCTCTTTCTTCCCCCCCCCCCCCTCTATCTTTCTCTCTCTGCCTGAAGACAAAATTTATCGCTTTCAACTCAGCGCTGGAACGTTTGTTTACACTCGTATCACGGGCCGTCACGCGCTAAGAAGATGAGGTAGATCCACAGAATTCTACACTTGTGTAGAATTCTGTCTGTAGATCTAGCATGCAAGTCTCGTTCAGACGCGAGATTGGACAATTGAAACATCTTGGTACATGAAGTAGTTAGACAATCTTTAATAGCATCACGGCGCTGCATTTCTGACGCTAGCCACCCGACTTTGGGCGAGTAGCCTGACGCTAGCCAAGCGACATCGGGCGAGTAGCATCGGCCATGTAATTATTTGTGCCTGACATTAAACTGGGGTATAGGGGGCTCTGTGTGAGGCAGTACCTTTGACGTTTGGCATGTTGCACCCTACCTGTTAGGGTGGGCGGGCATCACTGGTCCTCACGCATCCTCTAAATCTCTCACATGTGGCTCCACAGCGCCATACCCCGGTACGCCGCTTCAGCTGACGTACTAAACCATGTGAGGGGTGGTGTTTATACTCACTGGGCGGATGAGCAGCATCGAGTAGCCGACGGCCAAGAGCGGAAGGGTCTCATGACGGACTCAACCGTCAGAACGGAAGGGTTCCAAGCTGAACTCAGTGGTCAAGTGAATGCGATCGGGGGCGACCCACATCATATTCGGGGACATCGGCCTACGGTTAAGAGCTTGGAGAGGGATGGGCACCGCCAAGCTTCTCTGCCCAAGACACACCACATGAAATGACAAACAGCTCAAACATCACGTCCAATTCAAAGATCAGACTAAAGTCTAATGCGCTCATTGGTCATCTCTATATTTTTAATTTTATACTCCTGCGAGTCGTGGACACTGACAGCAGAATTGGAGAAAATGATTCAGACAACAGAGATGAGATGTACTGTAGACTCCTTGACATCTCATACAAAGACCACGTTTCAAATGCTGAGGTACGGAACAGAATCATCAACGCAGTGGGGCAGAGCTGGTTTTCAAATGCAGTGGTGCCCTCATGGTTGCCCCAACCACGAGATAGAAGAAGAAGAAGAAGAAGAAGAAGAAGAAGAAGAAGAAGAAGAAGAAGAAGATATTAAACAACGCTCTCTGGGTGTGCGCACAGGATTCCATACAATGAGTGATTTGTAGTGTCCCAGCCTACGATTAATTTCTCAGCTTGAGACAATAACAAATTAAATGTCAAATAATTATCCCAATCTTTAGCCCCTTCATAATCTACGAAGACCTAGCCTTTGCACCAGTAGCAGCATGACATGCATAAAAGCAATCCATTAAGTTTGTATGAAATTGTCCTTTTTCTGAACAATTTCCCGCTTTGGCCACCCCCCCCCCCTCTCACCCGAGAAAAAAACCATACAATACCTTATATTAATATTATATCTTTCTGTTCATTTGTATCCTACTTTTAAGAGATTTTATGTTTCCCACAATCGGTTAGCAGGTGTGGTATATTGTGTATGTCATGTTATACATTATTAAAATTAAAACAATAACAAACAAAAAGAAAACTTAAAATAAAGGCAGCCGCGGTATTTTCTCGACATATGTCGTGGGAAAAAAAATTACACGCATCGTGAAACATTTTTTTTCACGACCTGTCAAAAACATAATCTACCGGCTCTTACTGCAGAGGTCTAGATTTTCTAGGCAATTTTTTTTCGGTAGATCTAGATCTAGATCTTGTTTCCGATTTTGGACTTGTTCTAACGCCATTCCGATTGAGGTGTCAAAACCACCGGATTTGTGATACGATAGGTGCCGAGAGAGCTTCCTACTCCAACTTTCCCTTGCGAAATACGTAGCCTAGATCTACATCCCGAAATCTTTGGAGAGAGAGAGAGAGAGAGAGAGAGAGAGAGAGAGAGAGAGAGAGAGAGAGAGAGAGAGAGAGAGAGAGAGAGAGAGACAGAGAGAGACAGAGAGAGAGACAGAGAGAGAGAGAGAGAGAGAGACAGACAGACAGACAGAGAGACAGACAGACAGACAGAGAGACAGGTAGACAGACAGACAGACAGAGAAAAGGAGGGGGGGGGGGGAGGCACACTTGCCTTCTTGCTTCTCGAGCAGTAGATCGAGAATCTCACCCTCGGCATTAAGTTATTGGCCTATTAGTGCGCACTCGACCATTGTCCCTCTGCGCGGCTCGGTCGTGAAAATAAAGGCTGCCAAATTGAAGATTTTTTTTGGTCAATAAGTGAAATTGTGTTCTGGTTTTGGCATTCCACAATCGAACGAGCAAAAAATGATTGAAAATTAGAGTAGAATCTATAGGATTGGTGATCATACCGTCAGGATTGATGTTCCCGGATTTGTGTTGCCTTCTGTAAGAGATGCGATGACAAATTGAATAGCGCCAATGGAAAAATGCCATTTTCAATCCCCAGAAAGCCTTGATAAACGTTTGTTAAAGAAAAGAGACATGAACACAAACAGTAGGCCTATAAAAGAGAGTCTGAGAGACTGAGAGAGAAGTCATGCTGGGCATGGCCAAAGAGCAGAGAGAGAGACCCAGCTATTTACAGATAGGTCCAAAGAGAAAAACAAGTGAAAATGTGCATACATTTTTTTGTCCACGAAATGTCGTGAAAATATCGGCTGCCTAAAATAAAACTGAACTGAATTTCAAACTCTGTGAAGGCCAAGGGCCATTGCGAGGGAATCGCAGCGTGACAGTCGTGACAGCACTGTTTCTAATCCTCTAAAAATGGCGACCGAGCTGAGTAAGCCCGCACAGCCATAGTGAGTTTACGTGAGTGACGTCATAGCCTCAACCTCTAGTACTACTATTATAACCTCTTTGGGGTCAGTCTGAAGTAATGCCCGCCGACTTATTTTAAACTGAGTTTTAAAAAAAAGAAGAATTTCCCGACATGGTGCCGAATAAAACAAACAAATGAACTCACTTTTGTGAGTCTAGTTTTGTTGCGTTAGGCCTACAGTTAGATCTATAATATATATTATTGTAAGAATTTTGTTTAGGCCCAAGGCTACATGATCTCTTTGTTGATCTTGTATTCGGTAGGCAAAGATCGCGGTGGTTCAAGCAAAAAGTTTTCCTTCGCAGACATCGATACCAATAGATCTTGTGCCTTGTGCCAGGGCTTGGCTTGGTCTACCTGGATCATGGACCTGGCACTGACTGAAAAGTGGTTTTGTGATTCTTGTTATTGTTGTGTTCAAACTTTCAAGCATCAATATTGTGGCATCGTGGCATTAGACAGCAGTCAGTGATTAAAAAGCAATTTTATCCAATCAGACTGGGTGGGCATTAGGTTATGCAATGTGTAAAATGGTGTATTCCAGGGTAATCCTACTCTTGCGGTCGTCTGCCCCTCCGCCGGCACACCCGAACCGAGTGAACCAGCTAGCCTACTGTTGTGTAGGCTAGGCTAGAGTCGTAGATATGGTTCAGATCTAGATCTATGTAGTGGGTCCTGCTTGAAACAGTATCACCGGGGTCGACGTGTTGTCCCCGTGTTTAACTCTAGGCCGATATATATCATGATCAGATAGATCTAGATCTAGAAATCTCTAGATCTAGAAATCTAGATCTAGATCTAGATCTAGATCTAGATCTAGATCTAGCCTATCTATCATAATCTATGTAAACTTTTACTTGATCCTCGTCTATAATATAATACAGTTCAGATGTGACAGCCTGTTAAACAAAGGGACAGCAACTAGATATCCATACATGACGCTGGAGAATAGCCATCGATCTGCCGACCGGCACAATGCTGGAGAATAGTACCACTTGTATAAACATAATGCCATACAAATGGGATCTCTTTTTTAAGTTTTTAAACTAGATCTACAGTGGAGTCCACTTATAACGAGTCCGGAAAAAACGAGAAGTCTGTTACAGTGGAATCCTGTTATAACGAGAAGGAGGGGACCGGAGCAAAATGTCTGCTATTGCAGGATTCTCGCTTTAAGGGATCCAGTAATAAATTCAAGGGTAAACTTTAAAGTAGGCCTAATCTATGAGTTTGGTGTTCTGTTTATTTCCTTTTGCTATATCCGCTGATGATGATTTTGTTCAACATGACCTCTAGGTGTTACTTGATCAAAAATCGAATCAGGTTTCTTTTTCTAGAACTAGATCTAGCGATGTTGACTGACAGCTCGGCGTTGGTGATCAGAAAGAAAGGACTCTGGGCTAACTCACCCGGTGTGTTTTCCCCCACCCCACCACACCCTGTGGTGCATTCCGTCAGCTTGCACACGTCACACATTCGCTCCATCCATCACATTGCTGTGACCTCTACATCCCTGCATCGGAGAAGTGAGAGGCATGGTAGGCCTTGATAATCTAAACTAGGCTTACGCTGGCCTATCACGCGATGCGTTTTGCTTGTCTGCGCATGCCACACCCTCCCTACTCAGTTGTTCCGGCTTTCATTGTTGACACACATGGGCTCTCCCATTCTTTGTTTCGCTAGTCCACCAACTAGTTTGTCAACTGGCGAGATTTTACATGATGTATAATTGGCCCATACGCTGCGCACAGCAGCAGCAATATTCCGCTATAACCGACTCGCGTGTTTGTCTGATTGCGCTATAGCAGTATTTTATTTACAAAGATAAAGAAGAGAAAAAAACGGGTTTTTAGAATAGTGTCTTCATAACAGAATTCTTGTTTTTTCCGGATTCGTTATAAGTGGACTCCACTGTATAAAGACACAATTCTAAAAACCCGTTTTTTCTCTCTTTTTTTCCTTTGTAAATAAAATACTGCTATAGCGCTATCAGACAAACATGCGAGTCAGTTATAGCGGAATATTCCTGCTGCTGTGCACAGTGCATAGGCCAATTAGCCTTTACATAATGTAAAATGTAAACCCTCGCCAGTTGAGAAACTTGTTGGTGATCTAGCGAAACAAAGAATGGGAGAGCCCATGTGTGTCAACAATGAAGGCCGGAGCGACTGAGTAGGAAGGGTGTGGCATGTGCATGCAGCAAGCAAAACGCATCGCGTGATAGGCCAGCGTAAGCCCAGTTTAGATTATCTAGGCCTACCATGTCTCTCACTTCTCCGATGCGGGGATAGAGAGGTCACAGCAAAGTGATGGATGGAGCGAATGTGTGACGCGCGCAAGCTGACGGAATGCACCACAGGGTGTGGTGGGGTGGGGGAAACCTGATTCGATATTTGATCAAGTAAGACCAAGAGGTCATGTTGAAACAAAATCATCCTCAGGGTAGATAGCAAAAGGAAATAAACAGAACACCAAACTCATAGGTTGGGCCTACTTTACAGTTTCCTTTGAATTTATCACTGGATCCCTTGTAGCGAGAATCCTGCTATAACGGATATTTTGCTCCGGTCCCCTCCCTTTCGTTATAACAGGATTTCACTGTATAAACATCATCAGCATTATCAGTCATCACAGTCACTCCTTTCTCCTCCATTGCCAGTGATATATTTTTTTCCTTCCATCTTTATTCTTAAAAAAAAAATAGGGGCCCAGTTTCTAGACATCTGACACAGATCAAGACATGAGATCGAAAATTTGTTTTTCATTTGAGTCAGATGAATCTTTCCCTTCCTCCCCCCCCCCCTTAACTTTTTTAAAAGTTCAGGTTAACAACAAACAACAGAGTTTGTGTGTATAATTAATGCGTTTAGTGTGTTGGACTTTTAATATTGGGTCTTCTTGTTATTCACATTAAAATCCTTTATTTTTTTCTCTGTTATGTGAAAGTTTTGTTTTGTCTGAAATTCTCAGTTGCCATCTGTAGTCATTCTAATTCTTTGTCAGCTTCTGATCTCTGCACATTCTTTATAATGTGCTCAATTTTGATTTGCTTTGTGGAATGCAGACAATGGTTTCTCTAGCATGCTTCAGACTGGAAAATAAATTTGAAGACAAAGAAACACAATTAAAGCTACAGGATGTCCATCACATGATACTGGAGAACTGTGGACAGTGCTATAGAGATTCCTGTGGTGACTGCAATTCAACAGAAACTCACAAAATTTGTGTCAAGAATAAATGCAGGAGAGGAAAGCGTTATCAGCCGTTTACAGCTTCATCGTGGAGAAAATTTGCAGCAATTGGAGGACACTCCCTTTTTCCAAGGGATCACAGATTTCTCAGTCTTGGTACAAATCAATGCAAAGACCCACAGAAGTCTGTCAGTGAGCAGGCATCAAACAACAATTCTAGATTCATTGTGAAACTAAAAGAGTTGAAGGAATTTTTTAAGTTAACAGGTGCGATGTTAAAGCCATGTTTTGTATTGACATATTGTGTCTACAGTACATACGGTATAATTTGCTTACATCGACATGCTTTGGGAAGTGGATTTGATGTCGATATATATATAAATGTCAATAAATGAAAATATAAAGCCAAAGAGGAAAAAACAAGGGAGGTTAGCGGTAAAAGACAACACTACTTTTTAAAGCTGGTTTCTTCCCTTGATTCTTGAAACTAACAAGAGGCAGGGGGGGAAGAGGCAGAGGGGAGAGGGGGTTGGAGTTACCGTACCAAAGACCGAGCAACGCGAGGCGCACACTACATACCAGCGCAAACTTTGTTGTAGGCCTACATGATCCTTGTAAGGCCAGTTTATGGCCGCTTGCTAGAGAAAATGGAAAGGTGAGGCACTGACTCGCTGACCGTGGCACTTGCCAGCGACAGACTGAGAATGGGATGAGGAAGGGGAGTGAGCCGGGAGTGAGCGTGAACGATCGGGAGTGGGGGTAGGGAGGTAATGCCCAGCGCGTGAGGCGCTCACGTTTTTGAGGCACTGTAGCCTACCGCGTTGGAGTTGGAGACTACACTGTAGGCCCTACATGACCTACTAAAGCCTGGTGTGTCGATATTAGGCTACTTGGCGGGTATGCAGACTTAATGAAGAACTAATGAGTTGACCCTTAGCGTGGCTTTTCCCCGCATTTTTGTTAGTGGGCTTCGCCAGGTACCCTGGAAGTCCAGGAAGATGTCGATAAAGCAGAGTGGGCCGAAAAAAGTCAATACATTATAAGAGAAATTGTTTAGTGAAGATATTGAAGGAAAAATTTCGTAATTGGAAAATATGTCGATATGTCAAAATGTCGATATAAGTGGATTATACTGTATGTTGAGTTAATGGGATTACAGGTGCTGTTTTTTAATAAAATTGATGGACGGTAGAACATTTGACAAAGAAATGTAGCCTCGTTATAAATCTCTATAAAACAAATTGGGAATATAATGAAAGCTTATCGGAAAGTGTACTCTGTACCCCTCAACATATGGAATGAAAATAGTCTTTTTTTGTCTTAGACTTGAATGTCATTGATTAACAATTCACACTTACAGATCCACTGTCTTAATGTGGGGGTGGAGGGTGTATTTCTGATCAGACCAGAAAAAGGGATACATGTATATAATTATGCTGTATGAGAATTAATCCCAAAGAACCATTTTTAGTATTATACAGTTTAATGTTGGAATATATATAGAATGCTATTTTCCCTCATATGAATGTAATCTTCGATTCTACAGATGACAAAGTGATCCGAGACTTTTTGAAAGCTGACAGTTGCAGAAGGATCGCAGATAAGGTAAGCTATTGTTTGTGTTTGTAAGTTAATGCTCTACATGTACTAGAAACTACAGGGGAAACCATATATAGATCTATAACAGGCCTGGTAATATGAGGGATCCGGTAATAACAGGGATTTTTAAAATCCGTGTTTTTTCCTACTCTTTGTCTCTATTAAAAGTTATCGGCAATAACAAGGTCTCATCGGAGCCCAATCGGTTATAGCAGGGACAAAGGCTCGTTAACAATGTGTAAAAAGTAAGAGAGAGAGAGAGAGAGAGAGAGAGAGAGAGAGAGAGAGAGAGAGAGAGAGAGAGAGAGAGAGAGAGAGAGAGAGAGAGAGAGAGGGAGGGAGGGAGGGAGGGAGGGAGGGAGGGAGGGAGGGAGGGAGGGAGGGAGAGAGGGAGGGAGAGAGAGAGTAAGTAACGCAGTGATGGAACAAACCCATGCAAGCCACGCCGCTGCAAGCACACACAGTGGGTGAAGCGAGAGAGGGCTGAGGTGTGCTGCAGACTTTAATCTAGCCCTAAGCCTAGCTAACGCGTTGTGTGTCATGCGCAAGCCTGCCACATGGCCAAAATCCCTGTTCGTGGGTACTTGTGGCAAGGGATACTACCCATGAATAAATACAGCTTGATTAATCCAGAAATGCTTACTTCCCTTGCTTTTCTTATTTAATAGGGATCTGATATAACAGGACTTTTTCTCTGGTCCCTCCGTCCCTGTTATATCAGGTTTTCACTATATATTAGACTAGAGAAAAGAACAAGAGAAAGTTGATAGCTTGGTGGTTACATTTAAAACTTATGCATACCGGTACTCAGGGCTCATATTGCCCATACGCCTCTGCAGTTTGGGACCCCTCATTTGCTTTGGGAAGCTAAAAATAACACCCGATGTGAGACTGTTGTAAGAGGTGACATATGTACTTAAGGCTGGTCTCCTGAAAAGTGCCAGTTGGCGAAGGGCCAACTGCTAGACCCTGTAAAAACTAAACACAAGAAAAGCAAACAAGCCTTAACACTTGGTGTGAGACAGGGCTGATAAAGGAAACCCGAAGGGGGCACAGAAATGGTACATGTATCAGTATACAGTTACAGTGGACCCAATGGACACAGTTGGACGATCTGGACTTTGCTGATGACTTGACTCATCTGTCGCACACCCAGGAACAGATACAAGCAAAGACTTGAAACAGCCTTCATGTATCAGAGTCTGTCGGATTGAAGATCCACAACGGAAAGTTAAAAAAAGGTTTGAAGGATAGATGCGCCACAAAACAGCACGTCTCAATATAAATGGAAGGAAGTGCACCTGAAGCTATTGAATCCTTTTGCTATCTTGGGAGTTAAATAAATAGAGAGGGAGGAACAGGAGCTGAAATCAAGTCCTGTATCAGAAAGGCATAGGCTACATGTACTTACATATCTTTGAATAGGATTTGGAGGACCAGGGATATCTGGCTCTGAATAAAGCTGAGGGTATTCAACTCAAATATAAAGTCAGTCTTGTTGTATGGATGTTAGAGATAGCACACATCTTAGACTTGCATAAAGAGGATATAGATTTTCTTGAGAAAGTTACTCAGAATCAGCTGGACAGAAAGGGTCATCAACAAGGGAGTGTCAAGGAGAACAAGACAGAAGCCAGTTGTGGAGGAAGTGGGCAGAAGACAGTGGCAATTGATCTCAGGAAGTAAGGCAGTTGCATAACATAGACAGTGCTGAATAGGAATCCACAAGGTAAGAGATGAAGCGGAAGGCCACATGGAACATGGAGAAGATTCTCAGAGAATGGTGTACGGAAAAATGGGAAGACATGGAATAATAATATCGAGAAATTACCTCAGGATAAGGAAAGGTGGAAAGCGATTGTTTTTGGCCTATACCTTGATGCATGGTGAGAAAGTTGGTGATGATGATATTGCCCATTTGATACTATTGTGGCTTGCCATCTAGATTTAATTTTTATCGACAGCTCCAAAATTAAATCTAGATGGAGAGAATATTTCTCAGAACTCTTGAACGCCACCCAAGAGCAAACAAACAAAGAATTCCAACCAAGTCACCCAGAGGAAGAAGAACCAACTATCCTACCATCAGAGGTCAGACAAGCAGTTAAAACCAGCCCAAAAAAAACAGAAGCGCAGGAATAGATGAGCTCACCACAGAGACCATACTAGCATGTTGTGAAACTGGAATAACTTGGCTCACAAAAATCTTCCAGAAAGCATGGACAGAGAGAAAAGTTCCCGGCGACTGGCAAAAAGCGGTCATAGTACCAATCTGGAAGAAGAAAGGCAGTAAGAGAGACTGTGGAATGTATTGAGGCATTTCACTGCTAAGCCATGTGGGCAAGATTTTCGCCAAGATATTGGAATGGCGAACAAGACACAAATTAAGTAGTTGAACCATTTCTGAGTGAGGTCCAAATGGGATTTAGAAAGGGAAGAGGATGTACCGACGCAATATTTGCCCTACGACAAATGTGCGAAAGGGTAATACATGTGTAGAACACAACAAGAAACTAAATATAGTATTTATCGACCAGGAGAAAGCTTTCGACAGAGTGAACAGAAACAAGCTTTGGAAAGAACTCGAAAACTTCACTGTAAGAGGCCAACTTCTAGATAACATCCGTGCCATTTACGAGAACAGCATAAGTACAGTAAGAAAGCCAGAGGGACTCTCAGAATGGTTCGAGATAACACCCGGAGTAAGACAAGGCTGTGTCCTATCACCACTACTATTTATCATACATATGGATAGAATTACAAAAGAGGCCAACACAGAACCAGACGCCCTAAATGAATTACTCTTCGCTGATAACCAAAGCCTGGCACACAAGTCTCCAACGCCACACCACCAGATTAAATGAAGAATGTAACAACTACAACATGAAGATCAACATCAACAAAACAGAGACAATGAAAATAAGCAGAAAGCCAGAACCACTCAGGATACACATCAACAACAATAGTCTCAGACAGGTCCAATAAATTAAGTACCTCAGAAGTATATTCACAGAGGATGGGCGACTGAACAGAAAAATTGAAACACGAGTACAAAAGACCAATAATGTTAGTTACCAGCTTACTCCACTACTGAAACATCCTAACATCCCCATGACAACAAAACTCAAAATGATCAACACCATATTCATCCCAACACTCACCAATCAATGCCAAACCTGGACCACGAACAAGACATTAGAGCAAAGAATTGCAACATGTGAAATGCGATGCCTTAGAAAAGCAATAGACAAGACCAGGCGAGACGAAATTAGAAACACTGTAATCCGAGAAATGGTGGGCACAAATGATGTCATGCATCACATCCAACACCAAAGAATCAAACGGTTCGGACATCTCCTACGATTACCAACACACCATCCAGCACAACATGCCTACATCCAAAACTTCGATGACAACAAGGCTAGAGGGCGACCGAGAAAGACATGGATAGATGGAGCGAGAGAAACATTAACCACCCACGGCATCCCCCTGACCCAAGCTCTCCGGTTGGCCACAGAGAGATGTCTCTTTCTTCCCGCGACACCCAAAAGGAAGCGGCGGATAAAAGTAAAAGTAAAGTGGCTGGCCAGGATTTTTCTTAATGAAGGGGCAAAAGCTACCATTTTGGCAGTTTAATAAAAATCTTCCAAAGACAACCATGGTCCATGTTTACTTTTGGGGGATTTGGCCAAATTGTGCCAAAATGGTGGCTCTTGCCGCTTCATGGAGGAAAATATGGCTGACTGTGACTCAAGTAGACCGAATCCGATTGGCAATGTACCCTGGTTATAAAGTGAATATCCCACTCTTACATCTCTGTGTCTGAGCTGAGATTTCAGTGAGATGCAGTGAAGTTGTTCTTCATTCTTATTTTAGAAAGGTTGCACCTTTTACTGGTAATGTTGCAGACCAGGTGTACTTGACTTGTCCCCAGTAATGGGAAAGGAGGTCGGGGTGATATAATCATATGCCTTAAACGAATTCATGATTGTAGAAGAAGAGCCATGGGCTACAATGTCATATTATTTTGCTTGTGGGGAGGGGGGTTCTGTTTAAAAAAAATGATTCTTGGGTATTGTCCATTGGCTACACAATATTTAGACAAAGGAATAAATTAAAATAGAGTAGTAGTCTTTTGTATGATCAGAATCTAGTTCACTGAGATTATTGCCTGTTTCACCAATTGGTGGGATGGTCTTGAATATGGTGATCCTTTTTCATTACCCTCCCTTGAAAATTTTTCTGTTAGCATGCCTTTTGAGCACTTTCGTAAGCGCTGGTAAATCACATCCACACCATCCTATACATCTACACAGTAGTGCTCAAGGCTCACATTGGTAGGGTAAGCTACCTCAAACCATGTGACAAACAATCAAACAACCCCCCCCCCCCCGTTTCTGTGTGGTGTAAAGATTTCAGTCGGTGGAACCAAACTTGGGATTTTTGTTTCAAATAAGGGTTCAAAGCATTTTCTGTCAAGGACGTCAAAACCGTAGGGAAGGGAAGGAATTTTTCTTTCTATTTCAGCTTTAGGGTTTCCGTTTTATAGAGGTAATTATAGAGGGGTTATCAAGAGGGAAACATGGAGATTCCATTTTGACAGGTTTCTATTAAGACTGGTTCAACTGATTTGTGAAAAGAACTTTCGAGCTCGGAAGGTTGAAGGACCATAAAACTTTTTTTTGTGTTTGTGAGTAGGTTGCTCGTTACACCTGTTTGGTCTGAAGGGCTGTGAGCCCTTGTGATAAGGTTCTAAACAACTGCCAAGCTCACCCCAGGGAAGGTTAAAGGACCATAAAACTTTTTTTTTGTTAGTGAGAAGGTTGCTTGTTATCTGTATGGTCTGAAAGGCTTATAAGTTATTATTGGGATATAGGCCTACATAGAGACAATACAGGGACATCATTTGTTTAGATAAAGCTTGTAGTTGTAGTTTCATAGTCTTGTCACTGGTAGTTTCAAAATTTACAATACAACAACTAACTGTTTTTGCCTTTGGGGCCCTGTAAACCATTGAAAGAGTGACAATCATGTGATCAACTGATTTTGTTTTACTCTCCCAACATAGTCATTAACGAGATTGGCTGCTTCAACCCTGCCCAACCTGGGTTAATTAATTAGGAAACCGCATCTCTTCTGACAAAATAAACTTCTTCATGTGACTGGAGCTAAGGTCCTTTAAGTGTGCAGTGGTAGATCTTAACCATTACACTACTACTTACTCATGTAAATGACAGTACATTGTACCTAGTGGGCTGCACCATGATGTCGTCAAAGGTCACCATAAATTCTTCTGTTGGTCTTTCCACACAGTATCTGATTGCAATGGTGTTTGCGTACTTTAAGAGAGCTGACTTCAAGGTCAAGGATTATACCAGGATGAATTTCTTCATTTGTCTGTAAGTACATGAATTAGATGATATGCTATTGTAGATTATTGTATTCTAATTATATCATGTGTTCCGTGATTCACTTAGAAAGGCAGGAAAGAGGAAAATACAAATATGTGTTTTGATTCAGCATATTAAGTTAAATTCCTGCACAGAACTACTACAGTCTAGCATGCATTGAAACTGATGGGACGCGGACATCTTCTTGTAACGTAGTATATGTTATAAATAAAAAGAATACACACATGATATAAAAGATATTTGAGAGCTGAAAATATGTTTGCTATGTCATGTGCATCCTCTCTTTGTGGTGCTAGACTTTACTTTTTTTCTTTTTTAATCAGATCAAATATGATGAAGTTGTAAACACCTTTTGTTGTAAAATAATTTACTCTTACTGATTATGGTTTGCATTATGGTGCAGGTTACTCTGGTTCCAAATCTCTAATGGAGTGTTCTTGAATTAGAGTTGTATGGAATTTTTATATTTACTTGGTTGGGTTTGCCCAGGGGTGGGTGTTAAATTTGAAGGTTCCCACCTTTTATACAACCTTACAATACCATGGAATCTTTATATTAATGGTTGTTTGAACTCTTAAAGGTGCCCCTTAAACTGCTTTTCAGGTATCTTGCCAATGATGTGGAAGAAGATGAAGAGGAGATCAAGTATGAGATATTTCCTTGGGTTTTTGGAAAGAAGTGGAAAGACAAGTGTGTTAGCTTTCTCAAAATGCGAGACCTTTTTCTACGGAGAATAGACTACAAAGCTATCATCAGTCGCAAATGCTGTGATGAGGTTCGTGCTACTGTTTAGTTTAAAAGATTGTTCCCTGTAGGCTGGAGATAAACATAAGGAATAATGAGTTTGTTGAAGAAAACTTTCATCCAACCTAGTTGTTCACATTGGAAGTTGATTAGGAGGTCTGGATATACAGAGGGAGCAAAAGGTATCAACAAAAATACCAACTACCCACCCTTCAAGTGCTGTATGGTTATTACCTTGCTGTGTTCTTCAGTCTTTTTTTTTTACCCTTTACTCACATGGTACAGGTTTTTTTTTCCCCAGAGTACCTCCTGCGAACACTGGTACTTTGAATGTAAAATGAAAAATTAATACTGAAATTCCTAGCACTAGCACACCAATCATAATGAATTTTTACCCAAAACTATAAAAGGTACATGTAGTTTTAAATCAGATACAGAATCCGGTTTATTTGAAACTAATTTCAAAAATAAAAAAAAACAATTTGACACTGCAAAAATATCCACCTCATAAAAATGCTGATTGTCACCAAAAGTATTCATTATTTGCTTTTTTTCCTCCATATTTTTTGGGAACTGTGAAAGTATAACAGACACAAAACAGTTTCTACAAGAATGCAGCAGATTACTATTGGTTTGTGTCTTTTATTGCATTATTAAGAAAACAAATTGCAGATCTGGTATTTCATCGTTTCACTGCTATCACTTTGTTTTTGAAAGCCATGGAAAGCCACGACTTAAAAACTATGGAATTTGTCCGATTGTGGTGACACATCTACTAATGTTTGGAGAATCAGAGATCCCCCCCCCCCATCACCAGTAATATCATACTGGGACACAACAGATACAGAACCTGATAAATGAATAAAGAGAGCTTTTATTGTCATCTTTGCTGTTGTGCTTTTATGACCAAATCGACTTGAACATGTCCTGAGGGCTTTGAAATACACATTTGTGCACAGAGCGGCATTAACCCACTGGAGACGGTTCATGCAGCATTTGCGAGCACCAATATTTCCACGAGAGGAGGTTCACGCACCCCCTGCGAGCACAAGTTTCGCGTTATCTCCTCTGCAAAGTATGCACGTAAACGATGGGTGAACCGTCTCTTACCGTGCATTTGACCTTTGTTTCGTTTCGTGCAAAGTTTCACCGGAATTGGCTGGAAACTTTTTGAGATATCGACCTGGAAGGAAAGTTAGTCACACTGAGGCCCTACTTCTACTTCCGTTTTTCTGACATGTCTGTTCTCGCAATGCTTTGTCAGTACGTGGGCAGCACGTTTAGGTTTAGTAAGAGTTTTACGGCACTTGCAACATGATAAATTAGTGCCGAAGATTAGGTGTTACAAGTGAGTAACAAACACAAAAAAAGGAGGAGAGATCAGGATGAGAGTTGTTTGATAGGAAAGAAGGAGCAAACCACATCAGAGCACCCGCCATCCACCCACTTGACGACTTTGACAGTTCAGAAAATTCTGATTATGATATTTAAGATCTGTCCCTGTGGTTATATGCACCCGGCATAATTAATTTAGCGAAATTTGATCATTTTTTGCATAATTTCTGATTATTTTCCTTTATCATTGTTTGTTAAAATTAACAGAATCGCATAATTTCACATTTTTGGGCTCAGTTTGTATAATTTCAGATTTTTCCTTGCATAAAACGACAGGGATAGTTAGACCACGGGGACGATGATTTCAATGTAAATGAGCATCAAAGCACTGATTCTGATAGAGAGTGTTCTAGATCTAGACTAGACTTTCAAATGCAAAATTCTGCTTTGTCTGGAGACCTGTTTTTTCACACTGAAGTGGATTAGACAGCTAATACATAGGAATATCCTATTGATTACCTGCCTATTCATGAGTTTGGACTTTTTATTCATTTTGAAACACAAGACACAATAAAAGACAGACACAACAAGGTTAATTTTTTGGGGGTTTTGTTGGTTTTTCTTTGCGCAAGATATTACGTCAAAAAATTTTGGTGAGCAACAAATTTTAGCACATTTTCAAAAAATAATTTCTTAAACTATAAAAGATATTGCCTTTCTGTTTTTTGTGTCATATTGGGCATGTTTAGATCTGTTATGTGTGTAAAAATGGTGGTTGTATGTCTTCGGGAAGGGTGTTGTTTGAAATGTTGAAATATCCCCACTACGAGTACGTGTTGGTACGTCTCGTCCAGAGATAGCTCACCAAACAACTCTTCAGCGCATGTAGACCCGAAAAAGCACAGTCTCCAGTGAGTTAAGCCAATACGAAAATACAAAACTTAAGTTCTCTTCTCTCTTAGAAAGATATCAAAAAGAATATGCACAGGCAGAAAAAAACAAAAACTATCACCGACGCTATACAGTGGAGTCCACTTATAACGAGTTCTGAAACAACGAGAAGTCTGTTATTAAGACACTATTCTAAAACTCCGTTTTTTCCCCTTCTTTATCTTTGTAAATAAAATACTGCTATAGCGCAATCGGACAAACACAGGAGTCGGTTATAGCGGAATATTGCTGCTGCTGTGCACAGCGCACAGGCCAGTTATACATATAAACCTCGCCAGTTGAGAAACGTGTAGATGATCTAGCGAAACCTAGGAGCTTACATCAACTACCTGAGCAAAACATAGAATAGGAGAGCCCACGTTTGCCAACAATGAAGGCCGGAGCGAATGAGTGGGGAGGGTGTGGTGCGCAGACAAGCAGAACGTATCGTGTGATAGGCCAGCCTTGTCTAGATTTTCTCGGCCTACCACTACCTATTCCCTCACTTCTCCGATGCGGGGATAGAGAGGTTACAATGCTGTGATGGATGGAGTGAAGTGATGGATGGAGTGAATGTGTAGAAACGTGCGCAAGCAGACGAAACACACCACGGGGTGTGGTGGGATGGGGGACAACACAGCGGGCGAGTTAGCCCAGAGCACATTCTTTCTGATCGCCAACGCCGTGCTGTCAACATCGCTAGCACTAGAGAAAGAAACCCGATTCGATTTTTGATCAAGTAAGACCTAGAGGTCATGTTGAACAAGGTCACCATCAGGGGAGATAACAAAAAGAAATAAACAGAACACCAAACTCATAGATTAGGCCTACTTTATTATTTCCATTGAATTTATTACTGGATTCCTTATAACGAGAATCCTGGTATAACGGACATTTCGCACGGGTCCCCTCCCTCTCGTTATAACAGGATTCCACTGTACCAGCTATTTTTAGGTTTCTATAGTGATGCATTAAAAAAAGCAGTTATTCAATTCTCAAGGAGATCATAAAGCAATGTAAAAGCATAAAACCTGTTCATTCTTCTCATTTTTATTACCACAGATCATGGCGATAGAGCCAGACAACTCAGTTTGGAAGCGAGAGCGACCCCTTCATCATGGGGGTGCATTCCGGAGTTACATGAAGAGTCCTGACGATGACGGCTGGCCTCGCGGTCCAAAGGGAAGTCCCAGATTCTGCTCGGAATGCAATGCTCCTGACAGCCAGTATGACTCGGCCAGCACTACGAGTACGTGTTGGTACGTCTCGTCCAGAGATAGCTCACCAAACAACTCCTCCGCACCGAGTTCAACGGGAGACTCCAGTGATGCTCTCCAAGTCCAAGGTTTGTATTGTATGCCTTATTGCTCTGCAAAAGAATAGTATTCAACATTCGTTAACCCTTAAAACCCTGTATTCTTTTTTTAAATTGAGATACTAGAAAAAATTAGGTTCGTTCATTATTTTTTTTTACCCTGTCTTTAATTGTTAGATTTTACTGAAGTTTGAAAATTTATTTATAAGAATGCAGTCTGGGCAAAAGGGGAAAAGGTTAAAACACTGGTTTTTAGGACCGACTCTATGAATAAAGTCTTGTGTGTAATCCCTAACTCCACTTCAGTCAGAGCATCATTAGACTCAGCCTTAGATCTAGCCTCTGGTAGCTCTAGTGGTGATCCCCTGCCTCTTCCACTATCGTCAAAATCATCATCGATGTCATGGGAAACATTGCAATTGTCTTCAGCGGTCATATTTATTGATATATCCAACTGGGAGATCACCATTGGGGTCTGGTTCAGGATAAAAAATGCCAAAATTTTGCGGCCTGAAGGGCCTCGCAGCCAAAAGTGACTAATTTTTCTTAAAAACTCGCAAAATTTCCTAACTTTCGGTGTAGAACTGCTCTCATTACATTATTGGTACTTTCTGCTCGCGACAGAGTCATCTGGAGTTACATCCCGCGTTTCTCGCACCGGGAATTAAACGATAAAGTTGACCTGCGGTGTAGGAAGGTACGGCTTCAGCGGTTATCAGCGGTATAGAGCTTTCCCCGTGGTTTTATGCGCCCCGCATAATTTAGCAAAATTTGATAATTTTTTTGCTTAATTTCTGATTATTTTCCTTTATCACTCTTTGTTAAAATGAACAGAATCGCATAATTTCACATTTTTGGGCTCAGTTTGCATACTTTCAGAATTTTTCTTGCATAAAACGACGGGGACAGATAGGGGTTAAAACACAACTGCTGCTCCATTTTCATTACCTAGATCTAGGTCAGAGCTATAGATGAAGACTAGCTAGAGAAATACAGTCGACTCCGCTTGTGTTGATCTTCGGTTATGCTGATCTTTTTCTGCAGTCCCAGCACCTTCTTCTTTACAGATCCAAACGGATAAGTCACTGAGCACCACGCCCCGATTTGTCTCCTAACCCCAGAGAACCCCCCATTTCTCTCACTTTTGGAAAATTCATTAAAAATCGAAATGAAATTCTATTTCTTTGAAATTTTCTGTGCTATTTAATAAGATATGGGCTCAACAGACACAATAAAAAATTTTTGTGAAGAATGAATGACAAAAAAATGTATGGGACAGAAAGTTGGGACAAATTTGCCCCAGAAAAAAAAGGAAATGATGTGACAAAGCAGAAATCTAATAAACTTACTCAAAATGATATGGCAGTGTATGTTTGTAGGAGAATGAAGCATGAGTGTGTACAGTGAAGTAGCATAAAAATGTAAGTGATAATTAATTTTGAAAAATAAAAAAAATATAGAGCCTGGATCTAGATCTAGATAAAAATCATTGGTGACAGACTGAGAAGCATTTTCATTGTCAGTGCTGCTAGTGCTATGTATAGATCTGTCATAAGATATTCCAGGTCTGGGTAGGGCCTACATATATATCTTCTCCACTTTGAGGGCTGATTTGAACTAGTACTGGGGCTTGATCTATCATCATCCCCAGCCGGACAAGGCTGCGTACTCGTTCACGAGTCAGATTCATGATCGAGAGATGATCTTGGTCTAGTTCTTATGTCATTTTCTCAGTCATCTTCATCAGTGCTGGAGAATTCACATTTTGATTTATGAAGTTATCTATCTAATTCTAATAGTAGTAATAGCCTACTTCACCATAATTATCAAGACTCTCAATGAACACCTCGTCGTGCCATGCATCACTTACAAGAAACAATAACAACAAACTGCGTGGAAGTTCCTTACTTTCAGTTATTCAGTTCGTTAGACAAATAACCCGTTTATTCGCACTAAAAGTGGTGAATATACACAAACAACAAAGAACTAGTGTGTCGATATCCTGTTTAAACAACTGGGGCTATTTGCAACCATTTTTAAACTGCTGAGTTTACTTTATAGTCAATTATAGTCGAACCAGCATACGCTGCTGTTGCTGTCCGCGACGAGAATTTTACCGGATCGCATATGGTGCGAGAGCGGAGCTCGGTGAGTTCATTTGAACTTCAGATGAGTTCATCTTTTTTTCACTCCCCTTGATGGTACCAACATATCCATAGTCGACTGTATTCAACAAATCATTATAACACAAATGTTCCATTTTCCTTACCTAGGTCAGTGCTATAATCGACGACTAGCCAGAGAAATACTTCAGGCAAAGTAAATGACTTTTTACTTTTTAAAGATTAGGTTTACGGCGTTTGCAACACAATTAGGTCATATGTGCTGAATATTAAAGGTGTTACAAGTGAGTAACAAACACAGAAAAAAAAGGAAAGATAATGACGACAGAAGTTTGATAGGAAAGAAGGAGCAAGCTACACCAGAGCCCCCGCCAGCCACCCAATAAATGACTCTTATTGGCCCTATTTCCCAGTATATCAGGTACCGGTATACTATTGTCATTGTCTAGCATTTTGTCATCAAATGTTCTGATCTCTATGATATGAGTCTATCACATTCTTGCACTACTCTGGAAGTTATGTCGATTGTTAGGATTGAGGAAACTTCCAGTTGAACAACCCCATTTCTGAAAAAGCAGCAGGAAAAATTGTGATGACAGATGAAGTAATTTTTAACTATATAATCTTTTTTCCAAGTTACCCTCAACCCAACTGGTTCACTCAGAAATGGCTTAGCACAGCAGGGAAGAGCACAGTTTTTTTACTCAGGTAAAAGCTTTGAATACCCATGAAAAAATACTATGAAAAGAAAAACCCTAAAGCAAATAATTGATTAGAATTTACTTAATAATAGTCACAATTATCCTCAGATCTGAGACGAACATTGCCCAAAGATGTGAATGATGACGTATGGCCAACGGCTGAGGAGTGACAGCTCAACTCTGACATGCATCCACTGGTCTCTAGAGCAAGCCTCTGTTAATCCCTTGATTGACAGAGAAATTTTAGTATTTAAACAGGGTGTTGCAATTAAAAGTGAAAATTGTCTGTCTTTTTGTTTCCATGTTGGAGTATTTTGTTCTCTCTGTTCCAAAAGAAGTTCAATAGGTTTTATTGATTATGAAGTGGTCACTGAGATAAGAAAAAGGGGCTCTCCGCAAGTTCTTTGAAATGCCACAACTTTTACTGTACTCATACCGAGACCATTATATATTTAATTGTGACCGCAGAGTAGCTCGTACATCCTTCTGAGTTGTAAATGGTCCGTGGACCCAAAATGAGACTTGACACTTCTCATTTGGGTCTGTAATAAGTGTTGTCATGACAGCTGATGGACAATAAACTGTACTACATCAAAGAAACTTGTGACTTAAAATTCTTTGTGGGTAAACCTTTTATTTTTTTCTTTAAGTGAGCCTTAACTGATTCAGCCCACAGCGCTGCTCACAGCGACTGTCTCTTGAGTTTTGACGCAGAGCCCCTGAGCGGGTCTTATCTATTGCTCCCTTTCTTTACATCACATTCCTCTCTTCTTTTTCCCTGGCCACTTACTTTACATTTCAGCCCTTTCTTCTGGTGTTACTGAACAGTATATTTTATTCTGTATGCCGCACATAGGGTTTTATAAATTTAAATATTGCCTTATTAACTTTTTGTGAGACTACCCATATGCTACAAAGTGGTCACAAATTATTTGTGTCAGGTGCCAAAATTATCTGTGGGCTGATTCAGTTAATATCTTTTCGTGAGAAATTTTTTGGGCTAAGTAAAAAACCCCCCACAAGTATAGTAAAGCTAATGAGGCAACCAGCTGTCACTATTATGGCTAACAAATGTTTTTACAAATATCTTCGATAATTGAAAAGTTCAAGACAGGTTTAGTGCGGAACTGCAGCACTTTTTGTCTTTCTAATCATGCATATCTCCTTTGGTCATCTTGTAAGAAAAAAAACAAAGTCTCAGTAGTTTCTCTTTAGAGTATCCCCCATTACTATAATAATTAGGGCAGGGCTCATTTTCTGTAAAAAAAATCCTGGAGCAGAATTGCTCAGCACTTAATAATAATAGATAGCCTTTGTATAGCGCATATCCCCGCTCCACAGCAAGCTCTATGCGCTTTATAATCTAGACTATTACCCCAGCAGACCTGAGAGCATTCTGAAACAACCTCAAGTTCCTGGAAAGCATACAGTGCAAGCGGCCATTTATAGGTGCTAAAACACTAACATACTGACAAGATCTTTTGCTGTCTATGGCCGGGTACCCATTCCCACCTGGGTGAAGTGGGGAATATTAGTTAGTACAAAGTGCCTTTCCAAAGGACACAACATCGGGCCCGTGGCTCAAACCCCCTTAACCCGCAACCTTATGATTAAAAGTTCCGAAGCCTAATCACTAGGCCACCAACGCCACTTGAATCCAAATTAACAGTAAACAAAATCAGAATAAAAGTCGTGGATATTTATACTCCCTGAATTTAATTACAGATGTAAAAAAACAAAACAGAAAAACCAACCCCTTCGAAAGAAAAAATCCCAAAACAAAACAATATTGAGCTTCCAAATTCTAAAAAATCACAGACCACCCTGAGATACAGTGGAAACCATATGTAACAGGCCCGGTAATGACAGGGATTAGTGAAATCCCCGTCTTTTCCTACTCTTTGTCTCTATTAAAAGTTATCGGCAATAACGGGGGAACATCGGAGCCCAAACAGTTATAGTTATAGCAGGGACAAAGGCTCTTTAACAAAGTGTAAAAAAGCAAAGGAGAGAGAGAGAGAGAGAGAGAGAGAGAGAGAGAGAGAGAGAGAGAGAGAAGAAAGAGAGAGAGAGAGAGTAAGTAACGCAGTGATGGAGCAAGCACACGCAGCGGGTGAAGCGAGAGGGCTGTGGTGTGCTGCAGACTTCGATCTTGCACTAAGTCAAGCTTTTCGCACGCGTAATGTGTCATGTGCAGGCCTGCCCCATGGCCATGATAGAGGGCTGTGGTGTGCTGTTTGTGCGTACTTGTGGCAAGGGATACTACCCACGAATAAATACAGCTAGTGCTAGATTAGTCCACAAATGCTTACTTCCCTTGCATTTCTGATTTAACAGGGATTGGACATAACAGGACTTTTTTTCTGGTCCCACAATCCCTGTTATATCAGGTTTCAACTGTATTGGTATGAGTATTTTTTACATTTTTTAAAAATTCATGAAAACGAGCCTAAAAAATTAATTGTAGTTGAACAACAATGGTACATGTAGGTACCGCAAACTGGCCGTGCGACCCCGTGGCGCACTGTCACGGAGACCAAAACCCATATTTTTACCCTCCGTGTGATCATGCATACAGACACTTGATATATAAGAAGAAAGAGGATCTTTTCCTCTCTATAGTGGTATTATTTATTTGAATCAACGATTCTTTTGAAAGCAAAATCTTGCGGGATATAAAAGACAACACTATCGAAGTTTTCACCACAGCGGCCGCGCGTTTCGTGTATTGATTTTTTGGGTGACCTCGGTTGAGCAGGAACAGGGAGCGTATGGTATTAAATACTGCAATCTGATTCGTCGATATTTCAAGATTAGAAGATGCTCTTTCCGGTGATATATTTCTAAAGACTGTCCTTAAAGAATTAACAGAAGAGATTTGCATGTGAAAACTTTTGGAGTTGTTTTTTTATGGAACCAGTGATCGGACTGACTACGGAAATATATCGGCAGAAAGCCCATTCATTCCTCTTCAAGAATTACACAGCCATTATATGCAAATAAACACCGGACGCTCCCCGTCGGCTTGCAAGCAGGGCACCATCGCCCCGGTTCCGTATAAATTCTCTCTTTTTCCCTTCAGCGCGGCCCGGCGCGCAGCCGATAAGCCGGCGGTCGCGAGTGGTGATTTTAACCTCCCCTTGTATTTCTTGCCGTTTTGGTCAAAAAGCCATGTTTACGTAAATAAATTTCAATCTTCTGGTTATTTGATAGCCCTGAAAAAAATTGAGCTTGTTCTCTATGTGCATAAGTGTGTGTCTACAAGTTTTTGTGAATGTCCATTCAAATTTAAGAATGTTGTGACATCTCAAAGTGTAGACATTTCGCAATTAAAAAACTAACATTTTTCTGCAACTTCAGATGTTCATAACTTTGTTAAAAATGAAGCTACATGTATAAATTTGGTATCAAAATGCTCAGAATGATAAATTCTATAAGGTGGTGCAGTTAAATATGAAATCAGAGGACTTTGAAATTTCAGTTTGTGGTACCTAGTACATGTAGGCCTACTACTGTATTTTTGAGTCAACGACTGAAGTATTGATCAAATGAAGGCTAACTTACACAGCCAGCTTTACTTGACAGCATGTTCCTTGCTTGTTTCACTTTGCCTTTTGCCTCAAAACTTCCTTGAGGAACCGAATCCTTTTATTGATGTCGGACAGACTCTCAGGCTGAAAGAAAAGCCAATACAGGTTTTGATATGAGAGTGTGGCTGGGCCTGAGGGTGTCGTCAGCGACAGGCCTGCTTCTTCACTACCCCTTGGGCAGTCTGTCTTTCTGCGGATCACCATAAAAAAAAAATGACATTCCTTTTGAACTTTTATTTCAAAGTAACATCACTTCATTAATCTTCCTTTGCTCTACTTCTGTTAAGGGTGATCTGCTTCCCTGTTTCTAAAGCAGCTTAATCTAATCTAAGTCTAGCGCTTGCTCAAAACTGTCAAAATTCAAATTCATGAAAGGTAATGATTCCACCAAATTCATAATGATGGTTAGCCCTGTAAGTGCAGAGAAATGAAACTTGAGGTATTCCGCAAAGACCTTTCCAGCTGTGGAACCTATTTATACAGGTCCATTTTCTTTAATTTACATTTTGCCAGGAGAATTACTTTGGCTATTCCAGGACAAGAAATTACCTCTGATGCATTGTGTGATTTGTCTTGTGTTTCTTCTTTGATATGCCCTTGTTTCTTTGCTAACTGTGAAGGCTTCTGAAAAAAACCAAAGTCATTGGGGGGGGGGGGGGGGGGGGGGGGGGGAAAGGAGGGATAATATTTCGATACACAATTGCAAGAGCTCAAAATTCTATCACTTCACAACTAAAGCAACTCTTCTAATAACACTTAGGCCTACTTTAATTCTCAAGGCTCTGTACATCTTAATAACCAGAAACTGACAACAGGTAGTCAAACCCAAGACAACACATGAATGCTGTCCACTAGAATCGGATGATTCTTACTTGGGGACAGTGTGTGGTGGAAGTTTCCATGACCATTACCACCCTAAAGGTACTGATTATTACCAGTATACCAGTAGGCCTACAAACTGAGAGATTCTTTGACTTGAGGCCCCTACCACTTGATTGTAGTTTTATTGCTGGTATCTTTAATTTCTTTTAATAATGCAACTCACTGAATGACCTAAAACCTGGATCACTCCACCATGGCGTAGTCAATATATCTACTTCATTTTAGTACTTTATGCCAAGTTGCGGAAGCGATTCCACAGTTTATAAAAGAGGGGTGGGTGGTGTGCTCCGGGCAGTGTTGATTACATCATTACGATCATGAAATAAAAATCTAGTCAATAAAATCTATACTTACCACATTGTTGAAATATTCAGGGCTTATACCCTCCAAAAAGCTTATCCTACTCTCCAGAGCCTTTATTCTGCTGAACACATCCATGTGATCTGCTTAGACAAGAAAATATCAAAATTAAGAGCAGACAATTTTGTTAACAGATCTAAACATAAGAAACATGCCTTGAACATTCACAAAAAGGAGGTACAAGAGTCAGGTTAGCCTTTATTTCCACCTTAAAGTTGCACATATCGACTCTTACAACGTGTGACAAAGGTCTGCATTACCACTTCGTTACCCTAGAATTACCAAGTTCAATTTTCTTAGTAGGCCTACCTAATTTTGAGAAATTTGACATTAAAAACACTAAGTTTCATAACATTTCAAGTTTTTCCGAATGCAACTCTTTGAATATCTTGATTATGACTCCAAATAATTGTGCAATTTTGATAGAGCACTCAGGAATCAAACTCAGAACTCCCACGAGCAACAGTGAAGCGCTTAAACATTACGCCACAGACTCCAGTAAAATCAACATTTGCTCAACACTGTATGCTTCCCAGGAAATTAAGATTGTTTTACAATGCTATCAGGTCTGCTTGGGTAATAATAAAGACTGTAACACGCACAGAGTTTGCTGTTGAGCGGGAATCTGCCCTATGCAAATGCTATGAATATTATTATTATCTAAGAGCAATAACTTGCATGTCAGTGTACACATCAGAACCAAACATTAGTAGAAAATCAACAGGCCTACCACTTGTCAGGCATAAATGTGTCTCCATATTAGCCAGTCTCTCCTCCACCGCCTCTGCTCTCTGTACGCTGACTGGAAGCTGGTGGGACCTCTTGGTTCCTTCACTGTCAGCATGACACTGAGTCTGGGGACCCTGCAGATTTTCTACTTTTTTCAAGGCTATGTGACTCTTCCCTCCTTCTCTGTGAACATAGACAGCTTCAACCCGAGCACAGCTATTTTCAGAATCTGGAAAAAAATTAATGATATAATATGTCTAATAGTTGTAAAGTGCAAGAAGCATGCTGTAGAGCATGGATATACTCATAAATGCAACTGATATTATTATGTTTTGTTTTTGTAAAGTGTTTTACGGCGCTCGCAACTGCATAAGGTCATATGAGCGCGCGGGACACACTTAATATTTTCAGTTGGTAGGAAATTTTGAATTTTGCCCGGGTGGCGGCCGAAGCCTACTCTTATCGATTTTAGACCACCAAGGGATCTTTAACGTGCGCAACTTGCACACGGGTCCTCCGAGATTTTTCGCCCTTGTCCGAGAAGGCTAGGTGTAGATCTTTCCTACCAGAAGATCAGGGGTGTGGCAGAAAGACAGCAGTAAGGAGGAGCCAAGGAGTAGCATAGAAAGGCTGCAGAAAGAGTCAGGAGCCCAGATGAGGGGGCAGAGGAGGTGAGGGGGTGGGGGCAGAAAGTGGAAATGAAAGCAGACAACAGAACATTGCTAGAGAGCAGGAAAGAAGGTGAAAGGAGACAATTTTAGAGAAGAAAATTTTTCCGTCGCTACTCGGATTCGAACCCGGGACCTTTGAATGAGAGGCCAACACCTTAACCTCTAGGCCACGAGAGCCCCCTGATATTATTATTATTATTATTTTTATATATTCAGCATAGAGATGTCAGTGTCTGTGCAAACTCCAATCAAATTGTGTAACCCTAACAAGCAAATTCAGATAGCCCAGCTAATCTACAAATCCGAACAACAAAACTATCGTAGCACATTTACCAAAAATGCAACTTTGGTTTTAACTTTTCGATCTTCACGTTTCACAAATAAAAAGAACCTCATGAAAAAGGCTATCATGAATAAACAGACGAAATACATGGAAAACAATTATTTACCTAAGGAAAATGGAGAAATGAATTCTCGTATATTTCTTTCATCGACTTCATTTCTTTTGCTCTTCATGAAAGCTTCAATTCTTCTCTTAACCTGAAACAAAAATCAGAAGAAAACCTAAGTGTAGGAAAGAGTACAAACCTCAAATTTGAAAATGAAAAAGAACATTACCACAAGCCAACAATTCTAAAATACCCACCATCATTCACCAATAAATTGTCAATCAAAGTCAAAGTAAAACCAAATCTGTGCAATATTGGACCTGTCAACATGAATACTCTTACCACCAGTAGACAGGAGATTAAAAAGTGAATGCTCCTGTATTGTAATAAGATTGCAAATGTGAAGATATTGTTTTCTCCCTTTCCTGTTTGTACATGTAGTCACTTTCTTCAACATCACTAACTGTTCATGTAAGTTGGAATCAAGGATGAAACAGATGAAATCCACCAGTTAACTATCTAAATATTTTTTGGAAGTCACATTCTTTTTTGTATAAAAGAGGAGTAACACTTCAACAAAAAGAAAATGCAAATTATTTTTAAGCAATAAAAAATGATGGGCATATGTTATTCAAGAAGAATACCTGACCATTCCCGTATATAATGCATATAACACAGGTCGGTGGCGGAAATTTCTCTTGGACAAGAACATTTATTACTCTTCAAACACAAAAAAGTTGAGTTACAAAATGCTCTTCAAACTGCAAGGGAGCGGGGGGCTGTCTTGTAAGTGGCGTCGGTGGCCTAGTGGTTAGGCTCTCGGACTCGCAACCGTAAGGTCGTGGGTTCGAATCCCGTCAAGGGCCCGACGTTGTGTCCTTGGGAAAGGCACTTTACACGAATTTTCCTCACTTCACCCAGGTGGGAATGGGTACCCGGCTATAGACAGCGAAAGATCTTGTCAGTTTGTTAGTGTTTGAGCGCTTAATCGGCTGCTCGCACTGTATGCTTCCCGGGAAGCTGAGAATGTTTCGGAGTGTTCTATGGTCTGCTGGGGTAATAATATAGTGTAAAGCGCATAGAGCCTGCTGTTGAGCGGGGATATGCGCAAAAACAAATGCAATCTATTATTAAGAATTTTTTGACATAGCGCTAAATGAGGTAACATGTGTAAATCATATCTCTGTGTTGGTACCAGATAGAATGAAAACTATAGAAAGTTGTCAGTCTACCAAAATTCCTCACAACTGCAAACGTAACACTGTAATCTTAAAAATTAAGATGCATTGAGACAGCACATGGGTGTAGCAACACAACATAGGCTTTGGAAAAACATAATCTTTGTTTCTCCAAACAATCTACAGAAGAATTCAAAGACGACTACAGACAGACAGAAGTTGCAAAAATTAAGCAATAAAAACATTGCATTAGTTGTGATTATAATGGAAAATGAGTACCAACAGTTATACTATCAAATAGATGAGAGATTTACTATAGCATAAAAAAGCACTAAAATCGGAATTGATTAAATAATGCAATACTTACCTCATCTTCTGATTCAGCTTTGATCTGAATAAGACTGGGACTAACTCTACCAGACACTTCATTTCTCTTTGACTTACAGCACTGGTGTTCACATGTACAGCTGGCAGAATTTGAGGTAACATCTCCCTGAATCATTGTTTCAGTTCTAGGACAGTCTTGACCTGAAAAAAAAAGGCATACATGAGCATACCTAGAAGAGATATAAATCAAACCATACTTTACTATATGAAAAGAAGTGAAATAAGAAGGGGAAAAAGAACTGAAAAAACTCGGTTGGAAGGTTGTTAAGGTCATCAAAACCTTGATGCAATTTCGCATGACTCCTTTTTTCATCAGGGTAAAAATCGTATTTATTCCCAAGCTCAGCCAAATCCACTCGGAACATGGGCAGTCATTTTCATTTGTTTTTTAAATTTGACCCCCAAAAAACCCAGCTTGTGAATGCCACTGTTTTCAGTTGTAAACAAAGAGGGATTACAGTGGGTGTCGCATTCAACGAGGTTGCCGGGACAAGCTTGTTTTCCTCGTTGGATCCGACCTCTCGTTGAACGTGACTAAGACTAAAGAAAAGAAAGGAGACAAGTTATCATATAGGATGTACCAATACCAGTAACTAAAACAGTTGTTCCCCCTGATGACGAAAATCTCAAACAGGATCAGCGTGCGCATGTTTGAGCTGTGCTCTGACCGTCATTTCTGCATTAAAATTTTTCTCCAGAACACTTCGCGTGGAAACATACCCTCTCACATCTAGGCCTAGATCTACATAAATTAAAGGCGGCAACATGAATTTTCTTATCAGGGAAAGAAAAGAAAATTGAAAAAAAAATGAAGGTCTCGATCTAGACCTACCCATCCAGAGTTCATCCAGTTTCACACAGCCTGCATCGCGTTCCCATCCACCCCCTCCCATCCCTACCGTAGGCTAACCCTCGCCCATCCTCTTGGCTTTGAGGCCCATATTAGGAGGCACACAAGATCTAGCAATTCAATGTGTTTGGAATCGGTGAATCTTGTGCTGCTTCGCGTGAGGTGGAGAGAAAGGAGTAAATGTCTTCGCTTTTGGGGCTACTATTTGCTTTTATAGTTTGGTTATCGTGACCTAGTTGAAAGCGACTTCGGTCTGTTTACAACCTTGTTGGAGCCGGCCTATATTTACAAAGAGATAGAGGTAAAAATCAGGGATTAAGGATTGCCTCTTCGGAGCTGACTTCTTGTTAAATGTGACCTCGTTGGATGCGGCACCCACTGTTTTCATATGTTATTTATTTAGCCCAGTGATTTCAGTCCATCAATCAGATGATGGTAATGACAGATTTTAATCTCCCCCCCCCCCATTCCCTTATCATGTAACACAACGTGAAAGCAGCTACCAGTGAGTCTAGTTTAGCACATTGAGTTTGAGTCAGTCTAGTTCTTAAAATTTTGTCTAGTAGGCCTACTAGTAGAGACTTAATAGTGCTAGTTACAGAAGCAGTGTAATGTGAAATGTTATTAAAAGTTATTGGTTCAATTTTTTAGCTTAACATTACAGACCGAGACGGGCTTGCTGTCTGTGACATTTTGCAAGCATATATACAGTCTGTGCCGGCTGTAAGCACGCCGGCATAAAGCACGTTTCGGACTCAAGCACGCTAAACGGCTCTTACTGAACTTTTGCTATATAAATTACACGCCTTTAAGCACAGTAACTTCGGCTTGGGGCACGCTTCATTTACAAGACAGCCAATACTTTCATGATGACCCATCGAAGTTCGAACACAGTCTACACCGCAGCAGTGGAGTGTGTTAAGAGAAATACAAAGAACGCAAGTGATGGAGACACACACTCACACGGGAAGAGAGGAAGACAGAGAGATGCTCACAGCCGCGCGCATGGACATAGGATCTAGCCTAGGGCAAAGCTACACACAGACCCAAAAAAAATACAAAGAGAGTCGGAGAGATGAGAAAGGGAGGCTGGCTGCGATTTTACCTTTGACCCTCGCTTTCCATTAATCCTGATTATGTATCACGCGCGAGGTATGAATATGGCACAGCAGGCAGTCTAGTGGTACGCACAGGCAGGTGTAGGCCTAGTGTGGTGTATCGTGAGTTGGCCGTCTAAATTAAGTTTTCATTTCCCATTCGACCACAAAACAAAAACAAACAAGCAAACAAAAACTACCATGGCGGGTAAAAAAACGGTGCACATTTTTGCGGGACTGCTATAGGCCTACTTACAAACAAAGGGAAATAGCACGAGAAATTTTCTACATGAAAATCTCTGGATTATGTCTACTTTGCACTCAAGCACGCTTCGGCATTAAGCACGCTTAAGCTTTCTCCCGAAGACCGTGCGTAAAGCCGGCATGGACTGTAACAATATGATTTAATTATTTTAATATCATGTGGGCCTGTCCTAATTGTTTAAAACTTAGTTTAGTGCTTAGTCAATATTCTGTTGTTAGTTACTTAAAAGTTAACCCTGAGGGCGACAGCATTCCATGCAGGGGTTAGGCAACCACAGGGTGCCAGGTACTGGGGTGCCAGGGTTCAGAGGGTTAAGTCACTAGCCTACCCAGTAGTTCCAAGCAGACATGATTGCAAAGTAACGGTTTAAATAATTGAAATAATTGTGCCGACAAGGGAGATGGAAAGCTGTGGAGAAGCGACATGTGCAACTATACGTGGCGTTGGAGAATAGCTATTTATCTATTGACCGGCGCGACGCCTTAAAATAGCCACAAGTTTGCTAATAATAATTTAGCCAAAAAATCCTATTTCCTGGGAAGTATTAGATCTAGATCTAGTACAATACAGTGGAACTCAGAGATTCTGTTTTTTGTTTTTTTTTGTTTTTGTAAAGTGTTTTACGGCGCTCGCAACTGCATAGGTCC